CTGCAAAAGACATGTGTTTCTCTTTTTTGGTTGCTGAGTAATATTCCATTGTATATATGTACCACATCTTTCTAATCCAGTCATCTACTTTTGCCTGCCAAGTCTTTTTAAGATGTAGTATGGGAGCTGGTATTGCATCAATTCTGCTGCAGTAGAGGGAGTGGAGGAAGCCAGCCCAGATTTGATGAATATCAAGAGTCCTGGATCACTGGGGCCATCTTTGGAGACTAGCTGCCACAGATTCTGAGCTCACATTGCTAGGACTGCTCTTCTAAGTTCAGCTTCAAACACCAGTATCCTACCAACACCCCCTTTCCCTCCTACCCACCGAACTCCTCCATTCCTTCACACCTCCTCCACCCCGTTTGCTTCCTCCTTGACTCTGCAGCAAAGTGTTAGCCTCATGTGTATATAGGACTTCAAGCCAGAAACTTGGAAATAATCTGTCTCTCCCTGTCTTCAGCCCATGCCATTTCTTAAGTATTTCTGGAGTTACTTCCCTCCATCTCTATTGCTAATATCCTAATAATGAGGGTGGCTAAAATCAGTGACTGTTTTCCAAGTGCACACACAATTTGATGTACTTCAATTAGTCTTATCTGCTATACAAATGAGGAGCCCGATGCTGGTAGAGGTTGAATAATCTGTCCAGAGTCCCATCTTATTCAGTGAGTGGGGAGAACTAAGACTTGAAGCCTTGAGCTCTGCAGACAGGCAGCCCTGACTCTCAAATCTTTGTGTCCAGTGGTGCCCAGATGCCATCCGTGTAGACAACTATCATCTCTCACTGAGCCTCCACAGCTACTGTCCAGCTGGCATCCCTTCTCTACTCTGGCCCCAGCTACCCCACTCCTTGTGTCTTTCTAGAAGGGAGAGTGGAGCATGGATCTTCTCTGCTTAAAGATGTCAGTGCTCATGAGATAAAATCTAACCTTTCACAGCAGATGATAAAGTGCTTCACCAACTGGCCTGATGGTGGTTCCAGGGGGCATACTGGAAATTTCCAGGAGCCCTTTTGTTTATCACAATGATAAAGGTGTCAGGAATTTGGAGGACAGGGGTCAGGTTTGCCAGAGAGTTGTAACAGGAGGGAGAAGTTCACCCACTGAAGAATTATCCTGGATCCCACAGGACTTTTGAGGTTCCAACTGGCCATTCCATATGAAAAATCTACTTAGTATTATCTGAGCCTAAAATCCACCTCATTTATCCCTATACCCAAGGGAGAGGAGACAGGTTTAATTCTGGTTTACCCCTTCCGTGAGGATGGAATCCTTTGGAGTCCCATCTTTAAGCAGGGAGAATTTCCTATTAAGCTTCGCTATGCAGGGCTGCTGCCTTTTGCCCTGAAACACTGAGGAGCTCATGTCGCTTGTCAGGGAGTGCCCAGAGCCTGGCTTCCATTCTCTGCTCACCTGAGCGCCTTTGCCTTCATTTTGTTTGGCCCTGAAAATTCCTTGTTTTTATAATCAATGCATTTAAGACCTTAAAATAGTTCACTAGGATTTTGGCTGTTTTTAAGGAGGAAGTCTCCCAGGTACTTAGACTGTCCTAGCCTCAAAACAGGAAAATGCAAATGTGACATATTTTTGTACATATTAAAACCAAGAATTATTCACCATTTTGGGGAATCATATCACAAATGAGACACTGGCCAGTACAACACCCTTGGAATAGCCTTCGCTTGTCCTAATGTACTTTTTTTTTCCCTAGGGATTCTGCATACAAATGTCATCTCTATATAATCTTCCATTTAGTGGTGCCCAAGCATTTACTTTTTATTTTTTTGAGAACTGAAAAGGCAGATTTATTGAAAGACACCATCAACAGAGGCAGCATGTGAGATTGGAGAGGTCTGCTATTGTGCGCAAGTATTTATACTGAAATTATTTCTTCTTTTTTGATACGCAGTGCATTATGTTATGTTTTTTGAAGATTCATGTCCAGATAGGTCAAATTGCCTGTTAATTTCACTTCAGGAAAGAAAAGTGGAACAACAAAATGTTTTCTCTAATAATAAAAGGGCTGGCCCTCCCTGATGATTCACAGGTTAAAATCTCAGCATTATCAAGCTATCTGCAGCCACTGCAGCACAAGGTCCATCCCCAGCCAGGGAGCTGACCCAAACGGCACAGCAGACCTCTCCTGTCTCACACACTGCTCCCCTCAGCAGCATATTTCAGTAGCTCTGCCTGTTCTGCTCCCCACTCTTGTCTCTAGTGAATCCTCTCACCGCCCCTGTACCTCTGGCCTGCACCCTAGTTCTGTATGCATAAATAAATAAAAATCTTTAAAAAATAGTAATAATAAAGGGGCTCTGGGTCTGGTAGGGTGCAAGGTCGTTGGGATGGGCATTAACAGGACAGTTTCTGCCACTTTGTAGGTATGTGACTTTGAGTGTGATGGTAAACTGTAAGGTATTTCACTTTCCTCTTCTGTAAAGTGGGAGAATGGTACCTACCCAAGAAAATGCAAGGATTGACTGAGTTTTGCCTTGTGCAGTTATAACAGTATCTAGAACATGGTAAGTGTTAATAAACATCAGGGGCTATGATTACTTTATGACCTAATTTCTAGCCTCTCTAAGTGCTAACTGAGCTACCTCAGTATGTTTTCAGTTCTTGGAGTTGCGGTGATTGTTCTCCTTTTGCATATCCTTTTCTTTCTCTCCTCAGCCAGTTGTTTACCCATCCCACCATGCTTAGGGGTCACAGCCTTCCTAAAGCCTATGTCTATCTCCCCAAGTATGGATGAGGTGGGCCTGTATTCCATCCCATCATGAAATGATGTTATAGAGAATGGCGGGCTTGAATTAGCTACAGTGAGCAGGGAGTGCCCTCTGAGGAGGGGACATTTGCACTAAAGCCTGTGAAATGAGGAAAAGGCAGAAAACAGATATTGCCAAGACCTTGAGGAGCCACTTGATGTATTTCAACAATAGAAGGCAGGTCTCCAAAAGGTATACTGAGCAAAGAGGGAACAGAATGGAGGAGCTGAGCCTTTGGATCCATTATCTTCCTGTACCAGTCTCCCTCGCTTCAGGCCTGCAGGACAACATACCTGAAAATCTTTACCTTTACACCCACTGATCCCAATGCCTGGAATGTGTTTCCTGCCTTCTCTGATTAGTAAACAAATCGTATTCATCCTTTAAGGCCAGTTTACGAAAGCTTCTTTCAGTCTTCAGACAGAATTAATCATTCCCATGTCTGACATCCTCAGCACATAAGTCCCATGGTGCTAGTCACCTGCTGATTTATATCTCAGCTACTTATTTACATGCCAGTCTACCCACCACACCATGAGTTCCCTGAGGGCACAGCCTCTGTCTTAGTCACCTCTGTAGCCATCTCTTTGTGCCTCATGCAGTGTCTGGCAGGTACTCAGGCACTTGAGACATTCACTCTACTAGTGAGTGGGTATGGAGCACAATTCAAGGCCGAACAGAAAGAAAACAAAAATAACTGTGGGTTATCACTTGCTTTCTCGCTCACTCCCTGAGTTGAGGTGTCCAATAACTTACTGTCAGGGCAGGGCTATTAGCCAGACCTTACACACTGGGTAGCTGAGGCCCCGGGGTATGCAGCTAGTAAGGTGTGGAAACTAAGTACCAATTTTGTCCCCTTCGGATTCAGAGTAAAGATGGAGAGACCGAAAGAACATTTTGAGAACGGAAGGCGGTGGTGTTGGGTGCAGTGGAAAAGTACTTTTGTGGGTGGAAGAGAGATTTTTAGTCAGCTGGGATGGAGTTAACAGCAGCCCTGCCAGGGAGCATACAGGATTCCTCTCCCTGCCCCCCAAGCAGCTGAAGTCTACAGCATCATTCTGCAGCCCTGGAAGCTTGGGAAGCTCCGGCCCGCTAAAGCGGGAAACAGGTATTCATAGGTGTTCAGATCAAATGGGTATGATGACGTTACTTTGTAGGCAGGGGTCTTCCGCTCTGTTGCTATGACAACCGAGCTAGACTCTAGGGCCCTAGCAAGGCTGTCGAGGTGGGCTCTTCTGAAGAGGACCGGGTGGGAGGGGAGAAAGGCTACGCATGCGCGCGCGCATAGGGCTAAAACCCCAAAAAAGTACATTCAAAACCCTATTAAGCTCGGTGATTCTTCACCTCTGCAAATTGTTAAAATTACTTGCGCAACTCTGAGTCCCGATGCCTAGGCTGTAACCCAGCTCAATCAGATAAGACTCTCTGGGAGTGGAATTCAGGCGTCGCTACTGGTTTAATACTTCCCAGATGATCCTAATTACAGCCAAAGTTGCAAACTCGGCTTTCCGCGAGCAAACTAATTTCTGCGACCTTCCCAAGATGGCGACCACACGGCCTCTTCCTCCGTTACGTACGCCGACTGGGGGCGGGCTTTCCGAGGCGCATGCGTGTGGCGCCTCGTCGCTCCCCGCTCCCCCCGCCTTTTTCCCCCGCCTCCATTTTGTTCGCGGACGCTGGGGACGGTGGGAGCAGATCCATTTCCGGGTTGGCAAAAGGGGCGGCGGTGGCGAAAAGGAGAGCTTGCCGGGGGGGTGGCGAGCCGAGCGGGACGAGGCCGGATCGGAGGTGGCGGAAGATTTGCTCCCGGGGCAGCTGTGGCCAGGTCGGAAGGAGGCGGGAGAGGCTGGGCTCGTCGCTGAGATGACCTGCGAACCTGAGTGGGAGGGAGGGACGGGGCAGGGGGAATTGGGGCGGGGCTTGAGGAGAGAGGGGGGGATTGGAGGAGGGGCCTGAGGGGGAGAGGGTCTTGGGGGCGGGGTCTGCGGGAGGGGGCCCGGGGCTAGGGGATCCTGGACGAGAAGGGGGCGTGGGGAGTCTTAAGTAGGGGGGAGTGGTCGGGAATTGTGGTGCGAGCTCGGACTGGGAGAAAGCGAAGGGGGACTATTGAGAGGCAGGAAATAAGGGATCCTGAAGGGTTGGGTAAGGTGAGTAAGAAGACGGATCTGGGTGAGGAACGTGGTAACCGTGTGCAAAGAGGGAGATGGGGTGGGACGGAGGACCTGTTGGGAACAAGTGATTAACAGGATGCCCTGGGTAAGGAGGGAGGGAGGACCTGTTGGGAACAACTGATTAACAGGATGCCCGGGGTAAGGAGACCTCTGTGACATGTTGGGGGTAGAGTCGGGGGCCACTGCTGCTTAAGATGAGTGGGGAAACTGCATGCACTAGAGGAAATCTTGAGAGCTTTAGTTGAGAAAGAATCAGGATTGAATTAAAGGTTGGACTGAGTTCAGGGGCTGGAGTGGTGTGAAGTGAGGAAGATGAAATCTTGAATTGGTAAACGTGAGCATTGTATGTGGTTGAGTAACTGACAGAAAGGATGATTGTTGAAATGGTGAGGGCCTGGAAGAAGCTGGTGTGTACTGGTTTCTTATTTTAAAGGGGTTTGAATAATCCCTTTGGGTTCCCCCAGGATCAGCTTCCTTTTTCATGCTGTTTTGACTTTACAGTTTCTGTTTCTGAGTGACTTCCTTAATGTTTTGGTGGCTTGCTTTCTTCCAGACCAAAAGAGAACCTCAGGAAATCAGGATTGTTCTCATCCACTTATGGATCTCACTCACTTTGAGGCAAATCGTTACTCATTTTTTCTTGTTTGAAATATAGGTTTGGTTCTCTCTGCCTCTAAAAGATTGTGTTAACCAAATGGGATCTTGAAAATGGTTGTAAAGAAGTGTTCTTAGAAAACACCATTGAGATTCATATTTAGAAGACATGGCTTTTCCAGTTTCTTTTCTTGGCTTTACTGTGTGTGTGTGTGTGTGTGTGTGTGTGTGCGCGCGCGCGCGCGTGCGCACGCACACGCACACCCGTGAGCGCACACGAACCCGTGAGCGCACACCCTGCACTGGGAGAGTGATTTTGATTTTTAAGCTTATCTCAGTCAACTTTTTTTTTAATAAAAAAATATATATTTATTCATGCATACAGAACTGGGGTATAGGCCAGAGGTGTAGGGGCGGTGAGAGGATTCATCAGAGACAGAGTGGGGAGCAGAACAGACCCACTGACTAAGTACACTGCTGAGGGGAGCAGCGGGCAGGTCACATTAGAGTCAGAAGTCTGTTGCATTTTGTGGGTCATCTCCCTGGCCGGAGATTGAACTCCAGCAAGCTGAAGTGTCGACAGCCTGCTGGGTAGTGCTCTTCAACTGCTTGTTCCTCCAGGGAGGGCCCAACTTTTATATTTTAGTAGCCAAAAAGTTCATATTGTGTTACATTGTATTGGCTGCCATCAAGATGGGGATGAATGAGGTCAATTGAGGAAGAATTCAGGAGGCTGCAGTGTTTTCTGTTCTAGCTTCCAAGGTATTCTGCTCTTGACAAACATTGACTTTCTTCATTGAGTCTTTGAGAAGTCACTGTAAAATAGCATATAGATAGGTGGGACTTTGATTCTCGTCCCAGTGCCAGTTGGATGGGGACCAGTGTGTTCGTGGACAGTTTTCATGTCTTTATTATTAATTCTTTGGAATCTTGACAGTTTTAGCTTTTTCTTAGGGTGTAATACTCTGGACACTTTTTTTTTGCGCATAGGTGAACTTATTTATTAGAAGAAATGATCCTGAAAGTCTTGGCATTTCTGAGATGTGATGTGGATTTGCTTAAGAGGGGGCAGTTTCTAATCCTACCTCATACTTGCTATCAGAATAGTGTTTATCTTAGTTGGTACTGATTAGTTGCATGATGTTAGCTCAGAGGTAGAATGCAGGCAAAGTGAAAGGTGTTTAGAACAGTGGAGTTTTGAGGTTTTACTGTTAGCTTTTAAAAAGGGCAGAGAGGAGTCATATTCCCATTAAAGTTTCTGGACTTTCTGGGTTCTTTGATTGGGAGAGTTACCTGGTGTACTTGAGGCAGGTATTTTTCACATTACTCTGAAGTAATTCTGAAATTCATGGGCTGCTGGTTCATGCTGTTTAATGAAAACCATAGTTTTTACCCTAACCCCAGGAAAAACAGTTTATGAAGTATAAATGCTTGTTGGGTTGGGGGTAAAAACTGCTTAATATTTTGTTATCGTTTCAGTCTACAGTGTGTCTTTATGGTGTTTTTTTTTATTTTTTTATTTTTTAATTTTTTTAAAGATTTATTTATTTGTACAGAACTGGGGTACAGGCCAGAGATGCAGAGGGTGAGAGGATTCACCAGAGACAGAGTGGGGAGCAGAACAGGCAGATGGACGAAGTACACTGCTGAGGGGAGCAGCGGGCGGGTCAGGAGAGGTCTGCCACGCCATGTGGATCTCCTCTGGGGCAGGCAGGTGGGAATCGAACTCATGCGGAAGTGGCTTAAGCTTCTTTGTACTGTGCTTTAACCCGCTGCACCACAAGGGAGGACCCTATGGTGTGTTTTAAAGGGGACTTTGAAATAAGTTCTGGGCAGGCTTTGCCTACCTCTTTAACAGCATATTTGCTGTTTTTCCGTTGTTCTACTAGTGCCAGTGCTAAGTAGAAAACAGCAAATTACACATTTCCCCCCTCTTTTTAGCCTCTGGTGGACATCTTGTCTGTGTCACAGTTTGATACCACCAAATTGAAAGGATTCTTGACTGTTTCAAATGGAGAGAGTGACAGAAACTGAGCTGGGTTTCCTGGCTCAGAGAATGAACTCTGTCAAAACAAAGAATAGTTGCAGAGACACAAACTGGGACCTTGAAGCTGTGACTAACATTTTGGCAACATGCATCCCTTTGCCAAATAACTTCTTTTCTTCTTGAGTGTGATTGTTGATCTCCTCCTCAAAGTAGGCTCTTGTTGCTTCTGTTCTTCACATGGCTCCCGAACAGAAGCTGGCAGAGTTCTGGTTGACCGCCTGTCTTTTGAGGGATATGCCCTGGATTAGAGTAGATGGGGTGTTCCATGTCAAAATGAGGTTCCCTGGCATATCCTGAGAGCTCTCTGCAAGGAAAAAGAGGCAGGCCTCCGCTGAATGTTCTTGCACTCCTTTATGCTTCTCTCAATTCAGATCTGTTTCTTATTCACTCCAGGATTAAATGCAGAATCATTGCCTTTGCCTAGCTTTGAAAAGTTCAGGGTGTCTGAGGAAGAGAGAGTATTTCTGGCTTCTTTCACTCTCTCTTAAGCCTTTGCGCTTAGGGAGCCATAGGCGAAATTTATGAACACTCTTTGGTTTTACTACAGAGGGGCATTTAGAATAGCAAAATAAAACTTTATGGAGAAAAATGATGTCGGTAGAGGGCAAAAGGTGTTACTTTTACTCATATCTGTGTCACTCTTTGCACTCTTGAGGATTTGGCTCACCATGAGGGATGAGCCTATAGAGGAAAATTATCGAAAAAGGGACCCAGGAATTGGGCTTCTAAGGTACCCTTGAGGCGTGGCATTTGTAACAATTTTGAGTGGCTATACCAGGTATTTAGTAAATTCCCTTTCAGTGGTTCTACCTAGTAAGTAATAACTGTTTTGTTTTTCAGGAGATAATTAGTTGAAGATAACTGTGTTTCCTATAGGGATAGGTTATGGAGATCATTTCTTGCGGTAGATCATTTCTTGCGGTAGATCATTTCTTGCGGTATCTGACAGTGGTCATCGGTGATAACTCTTGAACAATTCCTCTTGTTGGCGACTTGATTCAGCTTCCTCCTGCCACCATTAGTACAGTTTTCTGTCCCTAATATGCAGGTTTAGGAAACTAGTAGATCTATAGGTTTTTACCTGGTCTAGGGCTTTGATTGTGGCCACAAATAAGATTATTGGAGTTGTGTTTAGTCTCATATCTTTCAGTTTGAGGAATGTCTTGAAATTTTGCAAATCTGTATATCTAAGGAAAGTTTCTTGATTTCCTTCTTTTCTTAAAATTGGTTTTCAAAAAATAGTTTGTTAGACTTCATGGATTCAGATTAGGCTCTATTTAGATTTTGAGGACCCTCAATGAAAATAATTTGCTTTAAGCCAGTATTTATGATATTTCTTCACTCATCAACAGTCTGCTTACAGAACTGTTGAATCAAGTAATGCGCACCTTTTAGTTCTCCCAATAACCCTCCATGACTGTGAAAACATTCTCCATATGTCCAGCTTGGGACAAATGGTTGTTTTAAAAAAAAAAGAAAAGAATTTTCTTCTAAGGTGGTACAGACTGGGATGTGGGTGGGTGTCCAAGATTTATGGATAAGTGAATTTTCCTCCCTTTACTTTCACCCTCCCAATGCTCAGCTAGTAGGTAGGATGTTTTTCATTGAAATGCAGCTGTGAGATATTTAATGATATTTAATTTCTGTCACTGCTTCAGAAATAAAGACAGGACTGTCTTTAGCATGAAGGACAGTCTAGGTGGAAGGAAAAGCTTGGTGAAGGCCCAGAAGAGGGATAGAACACACTATTTTGAGGAATTAAAGGAAGTTCCAGGGTGGCTGGAACTTGCTGAGTGAGAAGCCAAGAGATAAGAGGCAAGGCTTCAGAAAGTACGGGTGCTCCCCAAATTTTGAGCTCACCCTTTACAGTGGAGAGTTTATTCTGTCAGTTCTTTCATGGATACTAGTGCATGGTGAAACCATCAACATCAAAGTTTTTTTTTTAAAGATTTACTTATGTATATAAGAACAGAGGCTTGGAGGGTGAGAGGGTTCACCAGGGACAGAATGGGA